GTTACCATTCTTGGTGTGAGACACTGCCCACTGTAGGCACAGGAGCTGTGCAGGCAGGAGGAGGAGGCCACTAGGAGAACGGCCAGGTCCACCCATCAGAAGAGCAGGGCAACGGGTCTGAGCACTTTTGTATCAGGCTTAACTGTTGATTCACTTAACAGAAAACAAATATAGGTAGATATTAACTGCCCTACCCCTCTGCTCTGTCCCCACAGAACTCCTGGAAGCCTGCAGTTTCCACAGACCTTAAAATCCAAGAGTGGGGCCACCACCTGATGGAGATGGGAGCTCACCGGACCCATAAGCTTCCCCTGGTTTTGCTGGTCTGAGTGGTTTGGTTGCCTTCAGTTTGGTGGTGGCACCTCTGCGGGACAAAATAAAAATAAAAGTTATTATTGGTTTTATCTTTTAAAAACTTCATTTTTTCCCTAAATGTTTGGTCTGGAAGGACTAAATACATGTGCAACTAGCCCTTCCTTCAGAGCTCGAGATTCATTTGCTCTTTCCCATAGCCATACCTCCTGGGTACAGTCCAAGTAGGAATTCTTTCTAAAAGGGGTCTGCATGGTCATTATAATATAATCAAGTGTATAAGGCTGTGTGTGTGTTGTGTGTGTGTGTGTGTGTGTGTGTGTGTGTGTGTGTGTGTTGCTGGGGAAAGGGGAGGAAGGAGGATGCAGAGTAAGTATTGAGATGGAGCGTTCAAGGCAGTACAGAAAAAGAATATAGACGATTTACACATTTAAAATATTTTCCATAAATTTCATCAGGTATACGTGAAGTCCTGACTCTTACTGCTTGGAAAAGTGAATCACTGGAAACTCTTCTTGCTAAAAATCATAGCTTGACCCCGCCTCCCATGGCAGTCACTGCCCTGTCTCCTCCCATTCTTAGTGGAGCTCCTGAAAGGTGGAGCCTTATTCTTCCCACCCCTCACTGGTTATTAATGGCTGAACACAGGGAAATCAGTCTTCTGCTCCACTCACATCCCTGCAGCTACTCGGGTCAAGGTTACCACCCACCTGCTAGCTGTGAAAACCAACTTGTTCTTTCATCCTTGAGTCTGTTTACTAACTTGATATGGCTGACCACTCACCCTTCCTTGGAACCCTCTCCCAGTTTCTCTGACACAGCAGCTCTTCGCTTTGGTTCCTACCTCTCTGTCCTCTTGTGGTCTTACTGTGGGCTCATCCTACCAGTTCTGAAAAGTAGGGTAATCTTCCCGGGGTTCTTCTCTTGATCCAGTGCTTTTCCAGGCCCTCCGTAAGCAATGAGAATGACTCCTGGGCATCTACATCTATTGTGCTCACCCCTGCTTCCAGCATCCCACACTCACACCTCCCCCTGCCTGTGCATCTATACAGTAGAGTTCGCACAGCAATCGGAAGCCCAACAGAAAGAAAAGTGAGGTGATCATCTTACCCCTTCCCTCTCCTGCTTCCCTAATCCAACTATTGTTTCCATATATTTCATACTGGGTAAAGACATGGTCTGCTACCCACTCACAGGAGTCATAAACTGAGGAGTCAAATTTCAATTCACTCTTTCCCCTCATTCCACATCCAATGTCAGCAAGTTCTGCTGATTTTGCCTTCTAAACAACTCTTCAGTTTGCCCCTTTGTTTCCTAACTCCTATACACTTTGGGGAAGAGCTGCAGGTAGGGGGTTCTGAACACAACAGTCCACATCTCTCAACTTTCTAGTAACCAAGGAAACAGACCCTGGGTCCACTTTGCAGACCAGACCTGATGTTTACCTTTTTACATACAGTCCTGCTTTGCTTTGAGTCTAGCAACACTCTGCTTTATGTAATATCCACCTAAACTCCACCCTCACCTCAAATCCTATAATAATTCTTTCTTTTCCTTTGTTTGGTGAGATGTCCCACCATTCCTCTGGCGTGTGGTCTGTCTTATTGCAATGAGCCAACAAATCTAATTTTATCAACAATGCGCTGAGTACCTACCATGATCCAGGCACTGTTCTAGGGACTGTGAACACAGCAAGGCATATTATAGTCTCTGAAAATAATTTCTGTCTATTTTTTATTTATTCCTCCCTCTAGACTGCCTTCTTGTCAGTATATCTGTACAATGTCTGAAATCATGTTCACCAGATACTATTGGTATAAAAACTAAGGTGATTTGTGTTTTTCTTCTTTGATCTTTCATTATTATATTGAGTTTTTAATATAATAAATGTCTCATTTTAATTCTTTTTTTAAAAATCCTCCATTTTTTCAAAGAAACAGAGTTAAAGAGATAAGCCAGAGTAGGGGAATCACATGATTGGTGTCCTTGAGTCTGAGATAGGTTCCATTGTGATTTGGAGCTGCTGGGAACAGGAGAGAAAAATGCGTCCAGTGAATGAGACATTTTAATTAATGGAAGAGAAGAAAAAATTGTCTATGTTGGTTTTGTTGTAACTCTCCATCTGCTGTTAGAATCAGGCAGCAGAGCACTTTCAGCCAGCAGCAGTCAGTGTCTGCACGTCCTTCCTTGACATCCATCCCCACAGAGCCCCTGGGAGACTGCGGAGTCCCTGAGGCGGAGACGTGCGAGGACAGGAAGCCTCCGACGCCATTCTCTCCTGCTCTCATTACTGAGAATGGCAGCACCACCTTCTAAGACGGGTGGAAGGTGTGCACATTTCTTCTGCCTTCATAATACGCAGGAAACAAATTGAAAAACAGCAGGACCATGTCTTATCAAAGCCCTGCTTCCTCATCCCCAAATTTCACCACCAACACGGCACTTGTTCACTCACGTAGCTCTGACTAAAAATCCCTATACACTGAGGACATTTCTGGTAGGTGTTCTCCATGCCTGGCCCTTCCTCCTTCCCTGCATTTTTAGTCCCTAACAGAAGTTATTATAAAGGAACTGTGTGTGTGTGTGTGTGTGTGTGTGTGTGTGTGTGTGTGTGTGTTGGGTGGTGGATACAGAGCAGGGATCAAGACCATAAGAAAGAAAAGAAATAGAATGTGGTAAGATTACTGTCAGTTCTGACAGTTTTAATTCATAATGCTAATTTAAAATATAGAAGTTGGTTTACTAAATTTAACCTCCCATCCTAAACATCCTTCCTTAATCTGGAGTCCCTGTTGCCTACCTTTATCAATGAAATGCCTGGAAAATGAATTTTACTGTGTTAGAGCATATAGTCAAGCATAAAGGAGCCCGACTGCCTGGAATCGGTGGGTAGGTTACTCAATCCCTGTCCCAGTTTTCCCTCTGTAAAATTGGGATAATGGGTCATTGTGAGGATTAAACAAATTAATAAATTTAAAGTATTTAGAACAATGCCTGGCTCTAGCAACCACTCATTAATGTGAGCAATTATCCTCATTACCTTGTCTCCCCCCGCCCCTCCCCGCTGTTCCCCCTGAGCTCACTTTTCACTCAAGCCTTCAACCTCTGCTGCAGAGATGCTGCTAGCCAATTCCAGGACACGTTTTACTCCTGTGTCGCTGACCCTCCCTTCTCAAGCTTCTTTGTGGGGTTCCCTCTCCTCCTCATTCCTCATGCTCTCCACAATTTAATGACCGCTTGTTTACATATGACTTCCAAATGAAAATCTAGCACCTATTGCTGACTTCACATTTGTTTACGGTATCACCTGCTTGATATACGATTTCAGACTTCCCAGAGGCACTGGTAACTCCATATACACAAAAGAGAGGCAGTTTTCATCCTGGCTATGTCCCCAGCTCCAAAGACCCTTCAACTGAGTTCTCTGATTCGCGTTAAGCACTTTGATCTTCCCAGCAACACACACCAAGTGCTTCAGATGCAGTCTTGATAGCTCTCCTTCTCCTTAACTCAGCTTATCCAATTAATCACTAAATCCTATATATTTTCCTTCTAAATATCTCTCATGTCTGTGCCCTCCTTTCCACTTTCCACATTTCCCTGGTTCAGACCCTGTGCATCATTTGCCAAAACACTGCAACAGCACCAGCTGGTCTCCCTGCCTCCAGTCTTTTCTCTCTCAAACCATAGTTCTCCATTGATCTGCCAGTCATCTATTTCACTCTCAACTGAAACTTCTTACTGCACTCTAGATAAAGTCTAGGTTCCTCAGCATAGCACACGGTCCCTTCACGTCTGGTTTTTGCCAACATTTCCTGCTTCATCTCCTGCCACTTCTGCTGAAATGACACCTGCTTAGTGACAGAGACTGCAAACTGACAGCCCCTAGGCCGGCTACTTCTGACCCTATGAGGTGTTTTATTTGGGCTACAAGTTTTCATTACTTGCTGAAATTTAAAAAGTGGAAAATTTCTCTTAAAAACCTTTCTTTCTGGCTTCTCTTGAAAAACTGAAGAACTGGCCACCTTGCTCCCACATACCTGCCTGGCAGAGCGGTGGCTGCCCCCTTAGGGCAGGAGTGACAGTTTTCAACAGGCTCTGCCCGTCCCATTGACTTTCCTGGCTGCTTCCCTTAACGTAGGTATCTCAGTTGCAGCCCTGGATTTACAGTGTAGGGACACTGAATTGCTCTTTTCTTCTGCACAGAGCACCCTTTCTCCTGTTTCACCTGCAGAGGATAACTCATCCTTCATGGCTCAGTTCCTGTCGTTTTCCTCCGGGAGCTTTTCTCTGAACCCATGTGGACTAGGCGCCCCTTTCTGCATTCCCATACCGCACCTTACATCTTCGGTCACACCTCCTGCCACGTGATTTTCCGATGAAATATTTGTGTAATGCTTGAGTTCCTCACAAGACACTTCACCTCACGAAGGGAGCGACTAGAAATCTTCAGCAGAGATTTCTTGAGCCATTTATTTTATTCATCCATCATTTTGTCAACAACCATGAAGAGAGCGGCGACATCTGACTCATATCTTAAAGGATGAGCGTGTAACTCATACTTGTGTCTGGCAGCTCAGTCTTTTCGGCGGGAGCGCAGTGTCCAAGAGAACTACAACTACCATCAGGACCTTCGGGGTCCCGGCCTCCGAAGGAGGAAATATAACCTAGGAACTACCACTCCCGTGATGCTCCGCTTCGGACGCCTGCGCAGAGCCGAGGGCCACGTTGCTTTTGCGGTGCCGGGTAGCAAGATCTCAGCCATGGCTTCCGCGGACTCCCGGCGGATGGGGAACGGCGGCAGTGTCGGAGGCGCCTTCCAGCTCTACCTGGACTCCTTGCGGCAGGAACTGTGGCAGAGGGACCCGACGCTGCTGTCAGTCGTGGTGGCGCTCGTCGCGGTGCTGCTGACGCTGGGTAAAGAGGCGGTCGGTAGATATGGCGGGTGCAGGGCTGGCGGGGATCCGAGCTTGGACTGGGCTTGTGCAGACCGCGGACGCGGAACGGACATGGCACCGGGGGGGCGTCTAGAGAGGGGGACTCACCCCTTATACCAACCTGCCCTCCTGCCTGAAGCAGCAGGAGCAGCTCAGCGTTACTAGCCCCTGTTCTGCGTGAACGCGCGGTTCTCTCCCTTTCATTGCTCTTGCTACGAAGACTCCAATGGTCGTCGTTCCAAGTTTGAGCATCCTATGTTTGCGAACTGGGCGCTGGGGATACAAAGCTAATGAGCAAGATTGCGCTTGAAGAGTACATCGTCGGTGTAGGGGCTGCAGATGCAAAAAAATTGACAGTTGTTAGTGTCAGGCACTCAGCGGAGTCCCTAAAACAATAATGATTATAATGGTGGTAATAACAATGGAGGTAAGTTCCAGGTGAATGAAGTGTTCTGTGGTAGACTTAATTTCCCACAGCCCAACCATACATGCATATTGTTGATAATCAAGGCATAATTTTGGTTGTTTTTCTCTATTCCACAGTGTTCTGGAAGTTCATCCGGAGCAGAAGGAGCAGTCAAAGAGCTGTTCTTCTTGTTGGCCTTTGTGACTCCGGGAAAACATTGCTTTTTGTCAGAGTAAATGCTTTGATTTACACCTCTCTTAAACTTGATAGGAAATTTGAGGGCACCCCATTAGTCCTGTGAGGTGTACTTTGGAAAAGAAGCTGTGCTGACAAATTGGGGAGTTAATTCTTGAATCACTTGGTAGGATGAAAAGACTCTTGAAAAGCTCTTAAACTGGAATTTGACCATTTCTGTTCTCTTGTACTTGCCAGATACTTACATTTAACCCTTATCCCATTTAAGGGTTTTATATACTAACTACTTTCATGTCATGGCTAAGGATGCCAGACCAGCTGGAGAGATAGAGGGCAGTAATCTGTATACAGTGTATAATTCTTCTGAGACTTTGTCAAAGAAACCTTTTTAAAGGGTGATTCTTCTTCTGCCTATTGGCTACTTAGGCTTCTTTTCACTAATATTTATTTTGAGTCCATGTAGTATTTTTATTTATTTATTTATTTATTTTTTGCGGTATGCGAGCCTCTCACTGTTGCGGAGCACAGGCTCCGGATGCGCAGGCTCAGCAGCCATGGCTCACGGGCCCAGCCGCTCCGCGGCATGTGGGATCTTCCCGGACCGGGGCACGAACTCGTGTCCCCTGCATCGGCAGGCGGGCTCTCAACCACTGCACCACCAGGGAAGCCCTATGTAGTATTTTTAAATGTTTGGTTTTTGCTACAGAGAGTAGCGGAGGTTTTCTTCTGATTACTCTTCTTTTTGAGAGTATAAATTATTTCCCTTCCACTTTGATGATTGTAAATGTTGATGGAAGGTCAGTAAATTTGGCCACTAACCGTTTGAAACTATTATTTGAAAATAATAGTTTAAAAATAATAGTTATCCCCCTCCTCTCGTTAAGGAGAGGGGAATGAAGTTTGCAATTAATTAGATTTTTGTACAAGCAAAGGAAGAAAGAAAAAAAAAACTAATATGGTCCTTTTCAGCTATTGCAAGTAACATTCGTTTATTTGACCTTACACCTAGGAGAGTTAGAGCAAAGTTACTTTCTTTAGGTTTGCTATTTATATGTTTACTCTGATCTCCCCCATGTTGTGTTTTGTTTTGTTTTACAGTTGTTAACAGGCCTTTACAGAGACACTCAGACTTCCATCACTGACAGCTCTGCTGCCTACAGAATCAACAATAACAGGGTAAGAGGTTCCTAGAATGTGGGGAGTCTGACAGTTTTACTTTACTTCGGTGTGTCAGGAAAAGACATTTCTAGGATAAATTAGTCTGAGGGCATAGGTACGTTCATAGCTTATTTTTATGGATAAATATTGTGCATGTGACAAATTCTTCTTTTGACCATCCAAGCAGTGGACTTAATCATGCCCTCCCCTGCTTTGTTGTACCTTATGCACACTGATTATTTATTAATTTTTGTTTCTGTGTCTTAATTCCAACTTTACCATGAGTTCTTAAGAGTGAGCATTAAGCCTTTTTCTTTAGTACATGTATATGGGACAAAAATTCAGAAGGTTAGAAAGGATATTTGGTGAAAAGTAATTTTGCCTTTCCTATCCCTTCTTACAAGTCTTCTCTTTGGAGGTAGTAACTTACCATTTTCCTGTATAGCCTTCCAGATGGTCTGTGCTATACAAACATATCTGTATATCTTTACTTTTTTCTTTTTTAACACTGTGTTCTACCCCCTCCTGTTTTTTTTTTTTTTTTATTTTAACAATATAACTGATACAGCTTGGATTTGTTTTCATTTTTTCTTCCTCATTTGCATACATAGTACTACCAGGTTGTTTTATGACCTGCATAGTATTCCATTACGTGGCTATACCATACAATTTTTTTTTTCCTTTCTTAAAGCCTTTACTTTTGAGACATGACAGAAAAATCTTACAGGTACACATGGAAAAGTAGTACATGATCACAGTTGAATGTGAAGACAGTATAATCAGAAAGCTTTTACTCCTGTCAACTAATGTTGAGTTTTTATTTAATAAGAGCCCTATTAACAGACATTTAGTTTTTTGGTTGTTACAATCTTGCTTTTACAAACAGTGTTGCAGTGGATATCTTATGGAGTATACATGAGTATATTTAAAAAACACCAATAAGGAATCGTGAGAAGGACTTTTTATGTACCTGTATGGCCCCAGAATGTAGATAGTGACTGCCAAGCCAATTATAATGCTTAATAGGTATTTAGTGAGTGAGTGGAAGGAAGGTGGGTGGATGACTGATTGGAGGCATTAGATGTATAGATGGATGAATTAGAATGGTGATTTTAGAGACTTTTTCTCCCTCTCCTTGGGTCCTCCCCACCCCGCCCTGCCCTTTTCTGGTACCTCCAGTATTAAACATTGTAAGCAAAGATAAAGAGACATCCTTTTAAATGTCTTAGAGGTATTTTTTTTTCTTTTTTCAATAATGGCACTGTTTCTGACTCAGACCTTTTTAAACTCCCAAGGATTCAGATTTTGAAATTTCAGATTTGGGAGATCTTTAATTCTTGGAGCACTTGTACTAGATATTTTAAGTGGGGTATTCCAGGGTATGCTTTAGACCTGTACTTTCCAACAGAGTAGCCACTGATCGTGTGTGACTGTTGAGCACCTGAAATGTGACCAGTCCAAATTGAGGGCTGCTATAAGTATAAAATATACCTCAGATCTTGAAGACTTGGGATGAAAAAAAGAATAAAATATCAATTTCTTGAATTTTTTTAATATGTTATAAAGCTAATTTAGATATACTGGGTTATGTAATACATATTTTTAAAATTTTACCTGTTTCTTTTTACTTTTTTAATATAGCTATCAGAAAACTTAACATTACAAAAAAGACTTGCATGTTTCTATTGAATATGTAAAACATCCCTCCCTTTTTTACTTCTTTTCCCACCCTCTTTATGTTTTAGATTTAGTCTCTCAAAATAGTAATGTATTTAGTACTGTACCTTATGGATTGTTTATAGTATGTGTTGTGGTGCTGATTATGAAATGTGATGGGGGTCCCAACCTGAGGTCCCTACACTACCAGTATAAAAATAGAAAAAAGGCTAATACACTTCGTGTATTACCTATAAAAGATTAAACAGACTAAGTGACAGGTCACAGTGTATCCAGCTGTAATTATGTCAAATCTGTGCATAATGCTGACTCCCTCCTGCTGAATAGTGGTTGAGGCTGGCTGTGGAGAAGGCAGAACATATGAGAAATGACCCGTGGGTCTGATAAATGTACCGGGGCTATACCCGAGAGTCTTAGGATTGAGCATTGCCACATCTGCATTGAACCTGAGCTCAAGAATGAAGGCCTGGCATGAATAGCATGTAAGTGGGCGCTTAATCAGTCTGTTCCGTAGTGGCATAACCCCGCCCTGTTCAGTGATTGTCACCTGGATCAAGAATTGACAAAAAATATTGACAGAGTTGGAACAAATAAATGGTGTGTCTAGTGGACATATATTTTAAAATTAGATTGCAGTAGAAATATAAAAGAATGTTTTGTTTTTATAAAGGTTGGGGATCCCTGCAGTCGTAACATGTTATATGATAAAATGTAGGTTCTTATATTATTTAGTTTGTGAATATTTATTACTGTTTTTCACATGTTTTTGCTTTTATTCATACTGGTATTTTTCCCAGCCTCAGGTGGACTTTCCTGACTTCCCCATACAGGGTCAGGTTTCTCACGTACCCTCAGAACATTGATCAAAGTTGTAATTTTACATTTACATGTAATTTTACATCGTGTTGACCTTTCTGATTATATTATAAACTCTGTTAGGGCAGGACCATGTTTTTGTCCATTGTTAAATCTCCAGAGCCTTCACTCCATGATTTATAAATAGAGGATGCTCTGTGAACATTTGTTTGATTCATTAATCAGTTACAGTGACCTTTTCTGATTCATTAATTGGGTACCATTCTGATACCTGCGATCTGATATGAAAGATTTATGTTGTAAATGTGAATCCAGACTGAAACATTAATAATATTGCTGGCATCCTTAGGGCACTAGCCTGACCTTGATTGACCTCCCTGGCCATGAGAGCTTGAGACTTCAGTTCTTAGAGCGGTTTAAGGCTTCAGCCAGGTAAGTAGGAAGTGGGAAGGGCTTGTCTGAAATCTGTATATCAAGGCCAGCTATGTTGTTTGCTCTCATGGTATTCTGGAGGCATCCTGGTGTCCTGGAGTGGAAAGAGCATGGACCCTGGGGTCAGCATTTCTGGGTTGCAAGTCCACCTTCACTTGGATTATATGAGATAATATTTGAAAATATTTCTCAGAGTGTTCAGAAAGTGTTTACCCTTATTATGATGTCAGTAAATTTTTCATTTACTCTGAGGACAAATTTAGTAATGTGTAGAACTATTAAAATCTGAAAAAAGAATTTTAAAGCTAGGTGGCATCTGAGAAGATATTAAAATCCAACATTATTTATTTCTATCCATAAATTATCTAAAACTGACGCCTGAAAAGTACAGAAGAATATTTTCATATTTCTTTTAGTATTGTCCTAGTATTACTGACTCTTATTTCCTAAATTTCTTGTGCTTCAGCTTAAGATGCTTTATTCTTGTGTAGTCTCTAACACTGGTAGGAGCTTGAGGAAAATCAAAATACCACATTTCATTTATTTTAAGACACATTTTAACATCTATGAAATTGGAATGCCACTTATAGTTAATGGTGTCATAGTTTAATTGGCAGTATTTTCTTTCTTAGTTGAACCTGAAATAATGTGTTTTAATTGATGGAATCTGGGTTGATGGAATGAGATAGTTGTTTCTTTCCTTATTTTTGAAGGTATCTTGTTTTGTATTTTGTTGTTGCTTCTTGGCCCACAAGGTGGTGGTGATGAGCAATCTGTCATAGTTGAGACTGTTGCTTGATTTAAAAAAAAAAAAAAAATGGGCTTCCCTTGTGGTGCAGTGGTTGAGAGTCCGCCTGCCATTGCAGGGGACATGGGTTTGTGCCCCGGTCCGGGAAGATCCCACGTGCTGTGGAGCGGCTAGGCCCGTGAGCCATGGCTGCTGAGCCTGCGTGTCCGGAGCCTGTGCTCCGCAACGGGAGAGGCCACAACAGTGAGAGGCCCGCGTACTGCAAAAAAAAAAAAAAAAAAAAGACTATTTTTAGAGAGTTTTAGGTTCACAGCAAAATTGAATAGAAGGCACAGAGATTTCCCATATAACCCTACCCCTACACATGTCTAACCTCCCCTATTATCAGCATCCTTCACCCCAGTGGTTCATTTGTTGCAACTGATGTACCTAAATTGACACATAATAATCGCTCAGTCTGTATGTTACATTAAGATTCACTCTTGGTGTTGTACATTCTAGGAATCTGAAGAAAGGTACAATGATATGTAGTCACCATTATAGTATCTTAGAGAGTAGTTTCACTGCCCTAAAAATTCTCTGTGCTGCCAGTTCATCTTTCTCTCCCCTAACCCCTCACAACCTCTCATCTTTTTATTGTCTCCATAGTTTTGCCTTTTTCACAATTTCATATAGTTGGAAACATACAGTATGTAGCCTTTTCATGTTGGCTTCTTTCATTTAGTAATATGCATTTAAGTTTCTTCCATGTGTTTTCACTGTTTGATAGCTTATTTCTTTGTAGTGCTGAATAATATGCTATTGTCTAGATGTACCACAGTTTATTTATCCATTTACCTGTTGAAGGACATCTCGGTTGCCTCCAAATTTTGGCAGTTCTGAATTAAGCTGGTATTTGTGTACACATAAGTTTTGGGGTAAATATCAAGGAGCACAATAGCAGAATCATATAGTAAGAGTATGTTTAGTTTTGTGAGAAATTGCCAAACTCTCTTCCAAAGTGGCTGTACCATTTTGCATTCCCACCAGCGATGAAAGAGTTCCAGTCACTCTGCATCCTGACCAGCATTTAGTGTTGTCAGTGTTCTGGGTTTTGGCATTCTAATGGGTATGTAGTGGTATCTAATTGTTTTAATTTGCATTTCCCTGATGACATATTATGTGGAGCATCTTTTTATATTTGCTGTTTATAAGTTATTTAAATCTTGTTTGGTGAGGTGTCTGTAAAGATCTTTGACCCATTTTTTAATTAAGTTGTTTGTTTTCTTACTGTTGAGTTTCAAGAGTTCTTTTATATATTTTGGGTAACGGTCCTTATCAGATATATCTTTTGCAGATATTTTCTCCCAGTCTGTGGCTTGTTTTCTCATTCTCTTGATGTTGATTTTTGTAGAGCAGAAATTTTTATCTTTACTAAAGTCCAGTTTACCATGGATTATATTGTATATAAAAAGTCATTGTCAAACCCAAGATCATCTAGGTTTCCTCCAGTGTTATCTCCTAGGAGTTTCGTAGTTTTGGTTTACGTTTAGGTGTGTGATCCCTTTTTTTTTTTTTTTTTTTGGCGGTACTCGGGCCTCTCATTGTTGTGGCCTCTCCCGTTGCTCACGGCCACAGCTGCTCCGCGGCATATGGGATCTTCCTGGACCGGGGCACAAACCCGTGTCCCCTGCATCGGCAGGCGGACTCTCAACCACTGCACCACCAGGGAAGCCCCTGTATGATCCATTTTAAGTAAATTTTTGTGGAAGGTGTAAGTTCTGTATATCTAGATTCATTTTTTTGCATGTGGATGTCTAGCTGTTCCAGCACTATTTGTTGAAAAGACTATCTTTGCTTCCTTTGTTGCCTTTGCTCCTCCATCAGAGATCACTTGACTGTATATATGAAGGTCTCTTTCCGGACTCTGTTCTATTGATCTATTCTCTCACCAATACCATGCTGTCTTTGTTACTATAGTTTCATAGTAAGTTGGTAACATCAGTTCTCCAACTTTATTCTGCTTCAGTATTGTGTTGACTATTCTGGGTCTTTTGCCTCTCTGTATAAACTTCAGAATCAGTTTGTCAGTATCCACAAATAAGTTGCCAAGATTTTTATTGTGATTGCATTGAGTCTATAAATCAAGTTGGGAAGAACTGACATCTTGACTCTATTTAGTCTTCCTATCCATGAACGTGGAATATCTCTCCATTTTTCTAGTTCTACTTCAGTTTTGTTGATCAGAGTTTCATAGTTTTCCTCATATAGATCTCATATGATTTGTACCTAAGTTTCATATTGTGGGATGCTAATGTAAATGGTATTGTGTTTTTAATATCAAATCCCATTTGTTCATTCCTGATATTTGGGTAAGCAATTCACTTGTGTATCAACCTTGTATCCTGCAACTCTGCTATAATCGCTTATTAGTTCCTGAGCTTTTTGGTTGATTTTTCCAGATCATCTACAGTCATTTCATGTGCGAATACAGACATTTTTATTTCTTCCTTCCTAATCTATATCTTTTATTTCCTGTTGTTGTCCTAATGCATTAGCTTGAAACTACAGTACAATGTTGCAAAAGCAATGGTGAGATGGGACATCCTTGCTGTGTTCCTGGTCTTAGCAGGAAATCTTTGATTTTTTTTCACCATTAAGTATGACGTTAACCATTTGATTTTTGTAGGTATTCTTTATCAAGTTGAAGTTCCCCTCTATTCTTAGTTTACTAGGAGGTTTTATCATGAATGGTTGTTTGATTTTGTCAAATGCTTTTTTGGATCTGTTGATACGATTGTGTGATTTTTCTTTTTTAGTTTATATATCAATGAAATGATTATGTTAATTGATGATTGAACGTTGAACCAGCCTTTCATACCACTTGGTGGTTGTGATTTTGTGATTTATAATGAGAAATGCATATTTGGTCTTCATCCCTGTTTCTGGCACAGAGCTCATAAAACCCTTAGAATTTCCTAAGTGATGAGAGTGATAAATGTGTCTTTTGTTACGTTTTTGGGGTGAGTTTTGGAAAGCACCTAAGGATGGGGGCTGGGTGCCGGAAGAACCAACCATATGATTAGAGAGTTGGAACTTTTCATTCCCATCCAGGGAAGGGAGAGGAGAGAGGCTGGAGGTTGAATCAATCACCAGCGGTCAGTTGTTCAGTTAATCACGCCTATATAATTATGCCTCTATAAAACCCCAAAAGGATGAGGTTCATAGGGCTTCTAGGTTGGGGAACCAGAATGCTTCCACATGCCACCCTGCAGGGCCCAAACTCCGTGGGACAGAGGCTCCTTTGTTCAGGATCTCACCATATGTATCCCTTCATCTGGCTGTTGATTCATATCCTTTAATATCTTTTGCAATAAACTGATAATTTAGTGAGTTAAATGAGTTTCCTGAGTTGAGCTGCTCTCACAAATTAATTGAATCCAAGAAGGAGGGGTCATGGGAACCTCTGATTTATAGCCAGTCAGTCAGAAGTACAGTTAACAACCTGGACTTCTGACTGGTGTCTGAGGTCCCTGCTACCAAATTAATCAAACCGAAGGAAGGAGTTGTGAGACCTTCGAGTCTGTAGCCTGTTGGTCGGAAGCACAGGTAACAATCTGGGCTTGTAATTGGCATCTGAAGTGGAGGGCAGTCTTGTGGCACTGAGCCCTTAACCTGCGAGATCTGATGTTACCTCCAAGTAGATAGCATCAGAATTGAGTTGAATTGTAAGGCACCCAGCTGGTGTCAGGAGCATTGCTTGGTGGTGGGGGAACCCACATCCCCCACATTGGAATTGGGTCCAGAACCAATCATGGTGTATAATTCTTCTCATACATTGTTGGATTCGATTTGCCAATATTTTCATGAGGATTTTTACATCTGTGTTCATGAGATATTTATCTGTAGTTTTCTTGTAATGTTTTGGTTTGTGTTTAAAGTAATGCTGGCCTCGTAGAATGAGTAAGAAAATATTCCCTCTGTTTCTATTTTTTGAAAGAAATTATAGAGAACTTGTATATTTTCTTTCTTAAATTTTTTTAAATTGAATATTTGTGGCATATAACATTGTATAAATGTCCTTAAACATTTGATAGAATTCACCAGTGATCCCACCTGTGCTTAGTGCTCTCAGTTTTGGAAGGTTTAATTATTGATTCAGTTTCTTTAATAGATACAGGGCTATTCAGATTGTCCGTTTCTTATGTTAGTTTTGGCAGATTGTGTCTTTCAAGGAGTTGGACCATTTCATCTAGGTTATTACATTTTGGGG